TTTTTTATTTTTATTTTTATTTTTTTTTATGGCCTACTAGTATCCCTTTGTGTAAATGTACCACAGCTTTTTCTTTATTCATCTACTGATGGGCACTTGGGCTGCTTCCAAATTTTGGCTATTATAAATAACGCTGCAATGAACATAGGGGTGCATATATTCTTTTGAATTCATGTTTCGGGTTTCTTCTAAATACATCAGAAGTGGAATCACTGGGACATAAGGCAGTTTCATTTTACATTTTTTGAGGTAACTCCATACTTCTTTCCACAATGGTTGTACCAGTCTGCATTCCCACTAACAATGCGTGAGGGCCCCATTTCCCCCCACATCCTCACCAACACTTGTTTGTTGATTTATTGATGATAATTATTCTGGCAGGTATGAGATGCTATCTTGTCGTGGTTTTAATTTTTATTTCCCTGATGATTAGTGATGTTGAACATCTTTTCATTTGTCTATTAGCCATCTGTAAGTTCTCCTTTGGAGAAGTGTCTATTCAGTTCTTCTGCCCATTTTAAAATTGTATGTGTGTGTGTGTGTGTGTGTGTGTGTGTGTGTTGATGTATATAAGTTCTTTATCAATTTGGATATTAACTTTTTATCAGATGTGTCTATGGCAGGGCCAGACAGCCAACCAAGGAGTAAATGGCCCTAATGTGAAGGGCGGCCTATCCAGAGGTCACAGGTGAAGGAGGCACAGTCTGTGGGCAGCCCAGGGTTCTATTTTTAGCTCTGCCCTTTAATTGCTCTGTGCCCTTCAGGAAGTTGCTGGCCCTCTCTGACCCCTTACCCAGGTTCCAGCAGCACTGCCAGTTGGGATACATGAATAGGCCTCCTCACTGCAGGCAGGGCAGTCTGAGGGTGTGGTAGGAAAGGCCGAGATAAGGTATGAATCCCTTTCTAAGGCAAAGACGTGCAAGGTTGGAATAGTGGGGCATTTCTTTTTTCTTTTCTTTTAAAAAAATCCTCAATGGATATTTTCCCATTAATTTTTAGAGAGAGTGGAAGAGAGAGGGAAAGATAAAGAGAAATATCGATGTGAGAGAAACACATTGATTGGTTGCCTCCTGCAGGAGCCCCAACCAGGGGGCCTGGGCCGGAGAGGTGCCTGCAACCGAGGTACACGCTCTTGACTGGAATCGAACCCGGGACCCTTTGGTCTGCAGGCTGAGGTTTGGTCAATTAGGCTAGGGCTGGCTATGTCTTTCTCATGCCAAATTCTTTCTCCCTGAGCCCTAGAACTGGCACTGCCAAGAATAACAGGTCCATGGGGCTCTGGAGTTGTTGGAGGTGAGGGGTGGGTAGCAGGTCAGCAGAACCTGACACAGGGAGGGAGGTCGACGAAGGTCAGACACACTGACCTGGCAGAAGCCTCTGGGTCCACATAGCAGGCTCCGGAAGACCTGGAGGCCGAAATTACATTCTCTAAAGAGGGCAGGCTGCCACCCCCCCTCCCCAAACGCTCCTGACCCCGGGCCTCAGTCTCCTCCCTTAGATAAGGAAAAAACGCAGAATGCCTCATAGCTTATCACAACTGTAATCAATTAGAAGCTCAGCGTGTGTCTTCCCCTCCGGAATGTGAGTTCCATGAGGACAGGCTGGGTCTGCCTTGCTCATTGTCGTGAGCAGTGCCTATGATGCTGGAGATATTCACCATATTGTTGTGAAAGGGATGGAGAGAAGGGGTAAAGGAAGGAGGGAGGGAGAACTGAGGGTACAGGGAGACTCATTTTTTAAAATCACCTAAGAGCTAGGGGGAAGTGGCAGGTAGAGACAAGAGCTAGGGCACTGTGCTCAGGTTCCAGAAAAGATGGGTGAGGGTGGGCTGGAACTGCTGGCCGCTCAGCTGCCGACCTCTGGCGAGTAGGGGAGCTTGGTCTCCCTCACCTGGGCAGTGGGTCCTCAGCTCAGAAAAGCAGATTTGTGTCTTTCCTTTCCGGACTTCTCATCCATTTGGGCGCAGGGGACAGGGGTGGGAGACCTCCCTGCTTCTCTCCTGTCTCTGGAGGTGGCTTCTCCCACACACAGCCTGACTGCTAGCTTCTCTCTGACTGGGGTGGCTAATAAGCCCAAGGGTGACATTAATTGCCATCAGGCATTAGGAGTCTAATGAGAACCATCTTCCTTGATGATTCCAGCACCTTCCACCCCAAGGGCGTCCAAGAGCCGGCCTGCCCTCTCCACGCTGCACCTCCCAGCTCCAGACAGATGTGGCAGGGGGAGGGGAGACAGCCTCTGTCTGCTCTGGGTTCTCCACAGGCCCCTGTACACACAAGCGGAGGCAGCAGCAGCACGAAGCCAGGGAGGAGGGAGGAGGGAGGCTTCCAGGAACCGCCCAGGCCCATTTTCCAAAAAGAAAATGCCACTTCACTGGGTGAACAGGAAACTCACGGGGTCAAGAAGTCTAGGTCCCAGGGAGGCAGATGGGGGACCGAGACTGAGCCCCCAGTGGGCCTTGCTCTGCACTACCTCGCTCCCCAGTCAGTCTGGTGGTGTGCAAATCCACAAGAGCCTCACCCCACCCCCCAAGACTTATGTCCACAGGATTGAAGAGCCTGTCCCTCCAGAGCAGCGTGGGACTGAGACCCGGCCCTTGGGCGATGAGCCATGATGCCCAAGGATGCTGTAAAATCATTGCCATTGATTCCATGCCTGGCTGACGTTTGACAGTTGACTTGTCGGGTCTGATCTGAGTGGCGCTCTAATGGAATGGGCCTGATGGTGGGAAAGAACACCCTCCTTCTCCCCCCCTCGTCAGCAGGTGCCTGGGTAAGTGGGCAAGAGGGGCAATACCCCCACCCCCACTCCACGGCCCGGCAAGGGCCTGCAAAACAACCTGTGGGAAGGTGCTTCCCTCCTCTCCGCCCACCCCCTTCCCCAGCAGCCCAGGGGGTTCCCCTAGCTGCGCCCCAGGACCCACCCCCAAAAGAAGCTGTGTGGCCAGAGCGGGACCGGGCGCCGCAGTTGGGCTGATCCCCATCTAGAGCCCCGCAAAAGCCCCCCCGCAGACTCTGGGGGTGGGGGTACGGTGCCCCCTCCCCGCGCCTCAGGCAGGCGGCTGCAAGATACCCCCGGCGCCCGGCTGGGAGCGTGCATCCTTCCCGAGAGGACGCCGGTGGCTACGGAGGCTTCTCCCCGAGGGAAACGCGGCCGCCGCAGCCGCCCCGCTGCACCGGGGAGAGAGAGAGAGAAAAAAAAAACCTACAAAACAGGGGCGAGCGGAGCGCGAGGTGGGCCCTGGCCGGAGTCTCATTACGGAGCCGCGCGCGCCCCCAGGCCCGGAATGCGGAATGGACACGTGGACGGGGATGGGGTGGGGGTGTAAAAAGAGGGGTGTCTCCGCGCCGCGCGAGTCGCGGGCCGCGCGCTCCGGGGCCACGTGACCGCGGGGAGCCGGGAGGAGGGAGGGCGCCCGCGGCCGCCGGGGTGGGCTCCGGTCCCGGGCGCGGGGGGAGGGAGCGCGGGCGCGCGGAGTGTGTGTCTCTCTCCCGAGTCATTCCGGCGGAGGCAGCAGCCGGCGGAGCGCCGAGGCGGCGGCGGCGGCTGCTCGTACTCCCGTAGCTCCCCCCGCCTCCCCCGCCACTTCCTTCTGGCTCCTCGATTCTTCTCCCCGCGCGCACGTCCACGGGGAGCCGGCCCCCCGCCGGCGGCACCTCCTCTCCGCTCGGCCCGTCCACACCAGCTGCCGCCTCCCCGGCCGAGGGCTGCGCGGGCGCCGGGTGCCCCAGCCCCAGCCCCTGGCGCGGCGCCCGCGTCTCGCCGCCCGCAGCCCGGGCCGGCGCTGCGCTCCGCTCGCCCCGACTGACTCCGGGGGAGCGCGCCCATGCCCGGCGGCACCGAGGCCGCGGGAGACCGGGCGTCCGGGGGGCAGGGCGGGGCCGGCGGGGAGAAGGAGAAGGAGCCGTGCATTCCGAACCCCGGGAAAGTTCAAGGTTTGTGCAGGTCTCCTCCGGGAAGGCGAGGAGCCAGGCGGAGCAGCGCGCCCGTTTGCTGAGACAGCGAGACCCGGGAGGAGAGAGAGGGGGGCAGCCGGGAGCTGCGGCGGCGGCTGGCCGAGCTCCTCTCCATCCCGCCGCGTTCACGGCCCAGAGGCTGGACTCGGCGCCCCAGGCTCTCCCTCTGCCTGGCTTCTCGGAGCCCCATCCTCCATCCTCCATCCTCTCCATGGGGCAGCCTGCTCCGGCCGCGCCACCCTCGCCCCAGCGCCGGCGGAGCCGCGGCCCGGGCAGGCGGCGCTGAGCCGGCCGGGGTGCAGCCCGGGCCCCGGGCGAGACCGGAGGGGAGAGCGCGCCGGAGCCCCGCCTCGAGCTCCGCGGGGGACTCGCCGCCGCCCGCCCGCCTGGGGCATTGAGTCCCGGCGGCGCCGCGTAGGCATCGCCGGTGTCGGCGCTCCATGGAAACTTTTCCCTCTCCGGCTGGATTAAAGTTGCCCAGATTTCCTCTTTCTTTGCGAAAAGAAACCATCATGTGCACCTCCCCTAGGATGTGCATGCTGGAGCTGCTGCGGGGCGCTTGGAGGAAGGAAGACGCGCTGTCCGTGTGAGCATCCTACCCGAACCGAGAAAAAACAAACACAACAAAAAACCTGGGGCTGGTGTTGGAAATCTGCACCCTCCCGCGGGTCCGGGTTCGAGCTGGACCGCGCGGCTGGGGGATCCAGCGCTGCTCGGCTGGAGGCAGGCGGCCGCGGGGTCCGGCCCGCACGTGCGGCTCCCCCCGGGGCGCACGGAGCCTGCAGGGGGCACCCGCCCGGAGGCCGAGGCTCCTCCCGCCGGAGCTGCGCCCGCCCCCACCGGCTCCAGGGTGTAGCCGGCGGCGCCCGGGACGCCCCCTTCCCTCCAACTGCCCCTGAATCGCACCCGCTGGCCCCAGAGCCTCCGCGGACACAGCGGGGCGCCGCGGCAGCCCCGAGCCGGAGGGGACCGAGACCAGACCGGGGGCCGAGGCGTCGTCGTCGGCCGCCGCCCCCTGGGCCGCCCCCCGCTCCCGCCGCGGCCATGGCCCCGCGGATGGCGCGCCGCGGCGGCGCCGCCCTGCTCTGCCTGTCGGCGCTGCTCGCCCTCGGTAAGTGTCGCGGCGCGGACTCGCGGGGGCCGATGCGGTGGTGGCCTCCCGAGGGGCGCGGGGGAGACCGGAGAAAGGTGAACCCCCATCCCATCCCCGGACTCGCAGCTCGAGTTCCCTCCAGTCTTTCCTCCCCTCATCCCTCTCCTCCCCCCCCCAGCGCTTTGGCGGGAGCGGAGGAGTCCGGCCCCACCCCGGAGACCGAGCCCGGCCGGGGAAGACCGGGGGCTGGGGCATCACTCCCTCCAATCCGTTCCCCATTAGTAAGAAGGGTCCAAGCCCGAGTGTCCGGGGGCGTGTCCGCCCACGGGGATCTATAGGGATCCGAGGGATCCACTCAGTGTGTCTGAGCCGCCCCCTCCCCCCCCCGCAGCCGGCGGGGTGGGTGGGGGGCGTTGGGATCCGCGGGGACCGCGTCTCCCCGCGCCCCTGGCCCGCCGGCTGGAGCGGGGCCGCGCCGCCCGCCGCCTCGCTCCCTGCGGCGTCCCCCAGAGAGGAAGGGGGCTGGCGGCCGGGGCTCGGGAGCCGCGCCGGCTCGCCCACCCGCCGTCTTGTGAGCTGCATCTCAATGGCCGGCTTAGCGGAGCCGGGAGGGAGGCAGGGAAGGAGGGGGTCCGGGCGGCCGGCGCAGGCAGGCCGGGGCGGCGGGCGGCGGGCGGCGGTGGAGCGAGCGGGATCCGCGCTCCCGCGTCCTGCAATCTGTTGCGTCTGCTCCCCAGGCTCGCCCCGGGCCCCGGGCTCCGCGGCGGGAGGTGCGGGGGCGGGCGGGGCCGGGCCGGCGCGTCTGGGCGGTGGGAGGGCAGGGGTCTCTGAACAGCCCCCCTCCCCGGAAATGGGAACTCAGATCCGACGACCCTTCCGCAAGCTGGGGGCGCTCCGGGAGGCCGGTGCTCAGGCTGAAGGGAGAGGGATAGAGCTAACCAGGGAAAGAGAATGGAGAAGAGAAACCCGCTTCTTCCTTCCTCCCAACAAGACACCAGCAGGCCTGGGACCCGTTTCCCTCACCAGCAGGGAGTGTGAGTGTGAGTGTGTGTGAGTGTGTGTGTGTGTGTGTGGGGGGTCTTTGCCCCTCGCTGAGGGGTGAACCTGGACAGGCTGGAGAGAGGCTTGAATTGGGGGGAGGGCAGTGGGTTCTCTGCCTTGGGGGACCCTTGATGTGTCTACTCCGCTGCAACCCACACCTGCCCTGTGCCCAAGAGCCTGCCTAGGTGCAGGGTGAGGGCACCCAAGGTCTCTAACCAACGGCTCTTACAGGGACCAAGGCGCTGCTCTCAAGGCGGAGAGGGTAAGGAAAGGCATGGCTCTGGGTATCCAGGGGCCTGAAGCTTGGAGGGCTGGGGAGCTCCATCCTTTGCCGGTGGATTGCTTCTTCCATCCTGGGAGCTGGTTTGTGTTCCTTTCACCAGACCCAGCCAACCTCTCAGTCTTGTATGAGGAGAATGGGGCAGGACAGCATGGGCGAGAGGGATGGGTTCCTGTGTGTGTGTGTGTGTGTGTGTGTGTGTGTGTGTGTGCGCGCGCTGGGAACCTCAAATTTGCGAGGCCGAAGGTGGGGAAGGACTGAGCTGGAAGGAGGGTTCTGCATGCCTGTGCCCTGGAGCTTGGCAGGCAGGGAATTTGGGCACCTGGCTGGAGGGAACTGAGCTCAGGCCTGCGTCTAGGCGTGGTTCTGTCCCACTTCTGCATCCGGCTGCCAGAGTTCCCTTCTGAAAGCTGACGGTGGCAGCTCCCCTTCCCCACTCCCCCAGCTAACTCAAATGCTCTTCCTAAGTTCCCCCACCCACCTTCCTGAGTCCTCGCCCTGTTACTGACCAGCCTTTCTCCGCCCTCACCTGCCAGAATCCTACCTTGCTGTCCAGGCACTGCCTCTGCCTCTCGTGGAGTGGGGCAATCTGCCTTGCTGCCTCCTTAGATGCCAGTGTCTTCCCGGTGCCCTCTTAGGCCTGGACTGGTGGCGGCAGAGCCGCGGGCTGGTCCTCCTCTGTCCTTTCACGCAGCCAGAGCCTGGTACCTGCACGGCCCAGGGTTGGCTGCTGATGAGTGAAGAGCTATTTGAGAAGCTGGGGTGGGGGTCCCTCACTGAGCAGGCATTTCCATCTACTGATTACCTAACTGGCACCGTTTCCAAACCCCTTCCCTGAGTCCCCATCCCATGTCTCAGTCTCCCCTTCCTTGCGGAAGAGTACCAGAAGATTCTGAAAGTTTGGGGACCCTCCCCAGATGGATAAGGCCAGAATCTCTGAAATCCCTGCTCCCTAAACCCATTTCCCCAGGCCTTCCTCTTTTGGGGCTGCCTAGCACCCACCCACCCACCCACCCACCCAAGCCGCCCCTCTCTCCAGGAAAGGGGGACAGGATTTATTCTCTCTCAGGCTAACTCTCAGTTGGAAGTTCCGGGCTCTTCGAAGATGCCGGGTGTGGGAGCAGTTGCAGTTTTCTGTGTGTCTGTCAGGCGGAAGGATTCTGACCACACAGCCGGACTGGGAGCCAAATTGCCTGGGTTTCTGTCTAACTGGCGCCGTAGGGAGGGGTGACCTTGGGCTGCCTCCCTCATGTTTCCTGCCTTCCACCAGCATCGTGGCCTCTGGCCCATCCCTCGCCTTCTCGCTTTCTGCCAGGACTGCTGGGCAGGCACCGAACCCCACTCCCTTCCAGAGGCCCGCTCAGCCTGTGGGGTGACACCCCCTCACCTGCTCCCAGGCTCCAGGCTTCCACCAGGTGACCTCTGAGAAAGCCACTCTCCTGCGTCTGGCCTCTGAGGACACTGTCTGCTCCATATGCAGTTTGCATAGGAGTTCAGGGGGGTTGGGGGGCGGGTGAAACCTGGCTGAGAGTTGCTGGTGTCCGCCCCCTGTTCAGTAACCTTCCCTGGCTCCCCACAGCCTACAGAAGACAGATACACTCCCTGACCCCCGACCCTCCAGCATCCAGGGCCCTTTATGATTTTGTATCCAGCTGCCTCTTCACGTCTGCGGTACTGCCCGCCCTCTGTCCTCCATGCATCTTATACGGGAGCACGCTCCTTACCTTCCTGTCTCTCCGCTTTCGCACCACCGGACCCTCCATCGGGAATACCCTGCCTCCAGGAGTTCCTACCTAGCCTTCAAAGCACAACTCAAACACCATCTCCTCCAGGGAGCCTGCCGGGATTACTCCTTAGTGTCTCGCCAGCAGGCCCCACCCCTCCCACAGCAGTAACGGACCTTTTTCCCGTGCTGCCTTGGCCCTTCATGCTGCCTTTGCAGCAGCACCTCTCCCGGGCTGCAGTGCCTGTGTGTGAAGGGTGTGTGGGCATATTTCTGCACCATCCTCACAAACTGGCAGTTAGGGAAGGAGTCATGTCCTCTTGGTTTTTGCCTCACCCTCCAGGGTTTGGCACATAGTAGGTGCTGAGAAGAAATGAATGGGGTGGGAAGGCAACGCTACATATTGGGGGGCCCTCCCAATGTCCATTGAAAAGGGCGCTCTGGGGTGCGGGGCAGAAGAGGGGAGACGGGAGAGGCAGGCAGAGACACCAGGAAGAGAACAGTGGGATGGGATGGGGCAGGGCCATGCCACGCCCCTTGAGTGGCCCATACAGGATACACGTCGTCTCGAAGGTGACATGTTATAACACAGCTCCATAAGTTACGAATGTGGTGTCTCACGGTGCTCTGAATACATGATCGCAAACGCATGTGTCCTCACCTTTGTGCTCACCAGACTGGCAAGCTCCCGTTTCTCCTCCACATTGTGTCTATGCTTTGCCTGTCCCTCTGATTCCCTCAGCTCTGGGCTCCTTGGAGATGCAGGAGGGACACACAGCGGGAGGACTGGGTCAGCACTGGGCTGCGGACAGCTCTCTCACAGCTGGAGTGAGGAATGATGCTTGCCCCCACCCCCACTCCTGCTCCCAACACACACACACACACACACACACACACACACACACACATCTTCTTTCTGGCCACACAGAGCCCTTTGCCACAGCACAGCTTTGTAATGTTTAAGACCAGTAGGTGGGGATGTGCTATAAACTTGGTGCTTGGCTGGCGGAGGTATGGCCGCTTTGGAACAGCAGGGCGGGCATCTTCTCGGCCCTCGCTGGGGGCCTGTCTGGAACCGATAGACCCCAGGCCTGAGATTGGTAACTAGTGCTCACGATGCTACAGAAACAGGCCCCGAGAGGCACCAGCTCCAGCCAGCAGGGTCTGCCCACCCACCAAGTGGGTGTGTGTGTCGGGGAGAGGATCTTGCTTTGTTTTTCTATGTATAATGATGTCCATCCACAAGGCTGAAACGGAAAGAGGTCCACCCTCCTGTAGATGAGGAAATGGGCACGAGAGGAGGGGAGGGGGGAAAGTGGGGGAATGGCCGACATCATCCAGCCAGTTGGTTCTGGAATTAGGACCAGTACCACAGCTCAAAGGGGGTTCCTGATGGACTGAGGGTCTGCTCTGGGCCCCCTCAACAGAGATTCCACCACCTCTGTTATCCCCTTTCTCTGAAACTTCATGCCAAGATGTGCTCTGGCCTCAGTCTAGTCTCGGGCCCAGTCAAGGAAGACAATCAGTCACCAGTAGCTTTAATAAGCCTTGCCAAGCACTTGCCAAGAGGGCACGTGGAGGGGTTCAGGAATAGATCCTCAGCTTCCTTACATGGGCTTGAAGTCCGGTTGAGGAAATGAGAAAAAAATCTTCGATTCTGAAATTCAAGGCAGTTTGAAATCGGGGTTCAAATCCTGACTTTGTCGACTTGCTGCGCAGCCCCAAGAAAGTCACCTCCCTCTCTGAGTCTTTTCCTCCTCTGCCAAGCGAGAGGGGATGATGCACACCCAGCACCCTACTTACTCTCTGTCTCGGTGATGGTGTCCTCAGCTTTAAGGTGAACCTTCTCCTCGCCTCCTTTATGCTGGTCTGCCCTACGCCCATGCCCCCTGCACCGATGCACATAGCAGATGCCACACAGTGGAGACGATTCTTCCTCCCCGTTCCCTCCCCAGGGTCTTCCTTACTTCTTCT